CACAACAGAATAGAACACCATTCAGGTGAGGAACATATGCATAAGAAGCAACAAGAAAGAAGCCTGAATGGAGATAAAAAGTCATCAGTCATCTTTGATTTAAAAAAGGGAAGGGGAAAGAAAACAACTTTGGCTAAAATAAGGGCTTTCTCCTGGAAATACACGAGACCTAAGAACAATCGCATGGTGATTAGACTTAAACTACTGGATCATCATCTATAATCTAGGTAATGATCTTTAGCAGTTTGGGGTACAGGAGAAAGATAGATCTATTCATGCATCTGCCCACATCAAAAGAAATTTTAACAACATTTTAAATAGTTGGAATTTTTAAGGGACAAGAACTCCCTGAGGTTTATGTGCTCAGTCCAGTGGCCTGCCCAGCGCTACTTAATATTCCTTGAGATTCAGAGAAGTTACAGTGTTAGTTTACCTTCCTCCAGGGCAAGAGGAAGAATTTTAGACTGCCATAGGGCTGCTAAGTTTTATATATGAGGAGAGCCGTACCACCGTCCCCAGGATACCCAAAAGTCCTCTGCAAGTCCCTCCTTGCAACTCCTCTCTCCCATCACTCCTAAACCTATGAATGGGTGGGTCATGATGCTGGGACAAGGATTGCGCCAATTTATGGAATGCCTACGGATAAGAGCAGTCCTAAACAATGCTGCAGTGTAAATAAGAAATAACAACAGACCATTTATCTTCCAGTGTCTTGTACACAGGAGGCTCCCAAGCAAAGAGCAAAGCATAGCCAGAGCAACCCCTGCACTCTGTCTTAACCAAAAGTTGATCGGGCTAATAAGAAGCTTGGAGAAAACTTACAGAAGCTGTAATTGTGTCTTAAGTGATACCTGGAAACTTGTATTACACTTTAGTCAAGATGGTTGCAAGACCAGATGATTATATGTGCTTAGAAGTGTTCCATCCTCCAGCTTTGCACCGAGCATAGCTCAGGCAAGTAGAAGAATCTGTCCCTTAGGCTTCTCCATCACTAACATATTCATGGTCTGTGCACAGACTCATTAGGAAGCCGTGAGAGAGGAGCCACAAAGAGCCAACTGAAGAAAGAGCGGCAATTTAAGGGAGTCCACGCCTACACAAAAACACACCTTGCGGGTGTTTTTAGGACATGATCTTGCCCATAATTTTGTGGAGAAGGTGGGTGCTCCTTGTTGGTCTGAACATACCTTGCGTATCATGGGTTTTTTTCAAGTATTTACCATCATTTCTCTTCAGCAATCTTAATGGGAGATGTTGAAATATTATATTGCAATTGTTGTATTGAAGAGAAAAGAGGAAAACTAATTAAATTATTTATACTTTCAGGGAAGAAAACAATGAGATGATATTGTCTTGAATGACCTTTCCTAAGTATGGGGATATAGCATCTTACACAATAGACTCTTGGTTCATGTTTCAATTACTGACCTTTACTGTGGAGAAAATTAATGCAATTTTCATCGTAATCCACCCATACAAATAAGATCCATACGGAAGGTTTCCACATGCTGAATCTAACTCAAATGGAAAATGTCAGCTGTTTGCTACTGGATGAATTTGACTTTAATTTGTTCAGCTAGAGTCTTTTTGAACTGTGCTCATAAAACTTTGTATATTTTTGGTACCTATTTTTGACGGAGAATTTCCTACAGTAGAAACATTGGATTTTTCTTCTTTGGGGATTTTTTCCCAATTGTCTTTTTTCCAATACATGAGATACTAAACTTTTCTTAGAAGTTGCTAAATAACTTGGCTTAAAGCCACAGTGTCATCTGATCCTTCCCTACTACATCCCACTAGCCAAGTAGGGCTACGCTGGCTCACCACCGGATAGAAACCCTCCAAGAAAAAAAAAAAAAAAACACACCACAGGAATCGTTGTTGATTTAGTTTTGTCTCTGATTTTCTTTTGAATCAATTACCAGACCTGGAAATCGCAGTAATTTAAGTTTTTTCTGTTTTGGAGGAGATACAAACTTTTATCCAGACAGCTTAAGATCATGAGAAGACTCCAAGACTCTTTCCAGTCGGGTGCTATGATACACTCATTCAACAAGGTAACTGTCTGCTTGTGAAGCTCTACAGTCGTTGTCAAAAAAGGGGAAAAAAAAAAAAAAAGTAAAATAAATAAACGGTCAACGATCAGACAGCTTACATTCTGGAATGCATGTAACTTCTCTATACCTTTCTACTGGCGGGAGAAAGATGTTTCAGTGATGTAATTTTAAAACAATCCTTATTCAGACAGCCTGACAGACCCCAGAGCTGACACGACGCAGCCTGAACTCTGTGTCCAAGATGGCACAAATCCGAGAAGGCATTCATCCACCGAACAGCTTGTGCCAAAGGGACAGAGCTCTCTTATCTTTTACAGTCCTCCATGCTGGTATTTTGGGAGGGGAGAGGGGGAAAGAAAGGGGGAGCTGGCAATTAAGCCCTGTCATTTAAGACAGATAGTTTAGGTGGAGGGAGTTAATCTGCTCTCGGGTTTTTGAACTAAGCGTCTGTGTATTTATAATTTGTAAACAGTTAATCTCTTAGAGGGTGTGTTACAATTCCCAGAAGCATTGTCTGTTATGTCTAACATGCAGCAGAACCCAGAAAGGCTATGTGTGCAATTATTTTGATACAGCACAATGATAGGAAACAGAAACAGTGGCCTCGTATACCACAACCCAACTAGCAGATTTCAACTGCTGAAGCTCTTGTATTAGGGAGGAAAAAAAAAACACACGGACTTCTTTTTAAAGTATAGTTGTCTGTTTAAATGTTGACATTGCCATGAGATAATGTCATAAAATTACATTTTTCTTACACTCCCTAGAGAGCATTGGCCACCCTCAGACTTGGAAAAGTCATTTAGAATAACCTAATGTACTTAAAGATGCAAGTCATCAGAGTGTAAGCATGGACCATCACTGATGCAAAGGAGATATACCCAGGACAGGATGAAGCCATTAAGGCAATGCTGCACAGCACTTGACATGGGACACATGTAGTGGCTGGCAATTCTCTCTCCTGGTAATTCCGTGTCAGAATTCCATAGACCCATAACACTAGTATATCAATTAATAAAAGTTATGAATTGTTATTGCTGTAATGTTAGGATGTAAAGTGTTATCTTGATGAGAAAGCCTGCTGGAGGTGTCTACTGTGAGTAGCTTTAGCCAGTGCTACCAGCTCTCCATTTCAAAGAGTCACTGTCCATGTATGAAGTGGAGATAGAGGCAATGCCGATTACAAAATGGTAGGGCCAAATCATCAGCAGCTCAACATTGACTCTCAGGAGTTTTCCCAAACCTGCATACTTAGTTAAAGGAAACCAAGAAAAAGAATGACAGTGAAAGGGGGGTGGGGGTGGCAAAAATGCAAAGTGATTAGATCCATATTTAAGTGACCCAGTTGTATTTAGAGAGACAACCAAAGTCACTGGAGTTAAATCTAGGGTAACCTAGAATATTTTGGCTTCGCAGCAATGAAGCTGTTGCACAGCACAAGAAACAGAGGATTAAATACCTACTTAATACATTTTTACTTTTTTTTTCCCCCACCTCAGCACTTGCAAACGAAAAAGAGAAATATTAAAAAAGAAGAAAGTAAATGGGATTGGTTCCAGCGAATAACTTACACCTTTAGGCATCACACAAATAAGATGTAGGGTCAACATTTACAGATGTCCAGTTTTGGGTAGCCACAAAATAGAAATTATCGACTTTTAGAGATACACAGTATTCCTTTGAAAAAGATGCAACTTTCATTTAGCAACTTCTGATGAGTTCCAGATATTGGTCCATCTAGTTGACCAATTTTACGATGCAAAGAGTAAATTATAAATGAGAACATTTAAACAATTATTGTGTGTTGCAAGAAACCTGTAATTCCACTATATTGTCTAAAGTTCACTTTATAACTTTGATAGATTTCTGGTTGCTCATTAAAATGTAACCACCACAGAAGAGCAGGTTAAATTTAAATAACTATTCCCATCAATTACTCTGTGGAGCTTCAATTCTAGTGTCTGTGACTAAGAAGAGTTAAGGTGCACTTGATAACTGTGGTATTGATTTACTTCTCAATGATCAACAATTTCACTGTAACACTCTTAAATCACAGAATATTCAAGAAGAGTGTTATTAACTTAGTATGCAATTTGAAAGTTTCACGTCGCCTTGTGAACATTTTCTTCCTAACAGCTAATGTTCCTTTGCATGCTGTTGCTCGTTAAATAATTCCTCACCTTTTAACTTTAAAGTATTTATAGATTATCAGATCCTCCTTCACTTACTTATGTTTTTTCAAGCTGTATACATTAAGTTCTCTTAATCTTTCTTCATATGTCATGCTCTCTAATCCTTTTATCATTTGTCACTGTGGTTTGATAAACTTGAAAAAAAAAAAATCCAATGAATTTTTCACAGTGAGAAGAATAAGTACGCTCCAATAAAGTAAGAAACCGGCCTTGCCAATTCCAATTCTTTCTACATTTCAGCCGATGAACTAAAGCCATTTTTTTCCCAGTCTCTCAAAGAAATGTTGAGAAAATTCTAACCAGTCCTCCACAAATCACACTAATTCTGGCCTACAGAAATGGAAATGCCAAATCATCTGGGGAAAGCCATCAGTACAGAATGTCATCCAACACTCGAAATGGAAGTGATGGGGGATTTTACATAGTCATGCATGTCTTTGCACCTCGTCCACCCATACACATACCTATAAGTGCACATACAAGAACACGTGCCTGTTACAATGTCAAGCACAAACTGGGGACTGCTCAGATTCAATTAATGTTCAGAGGTCTTGCGTAGGTAACGCCACTGATGAATGTTATACAAACCAATCTTTTCATACTTTCAAATTTGCCAATCAGCAAACTGGTAACAATTGTTTTCCCAGTTAATACAGATAATAAATGAAGATCTCATGGAGATAGAATGGTGGGTTTGTGCTTTCCCACGTTCCTTCTGATTCTAGCTAACACAATCGTGAGATATGCTTACCTTATCATCTTCATCCTCATCTTCATCCAAGCCCATAAGCTCCTGCAAAAGCAGATGTCCGTATTACAAAACAGTACACTTACTTTTCAGTGACAGGCAATGTTCAAAAAGCTTATGATACTCCCACAACATTTCATTACACAGTTTTCTCCCACTGCTATTGCAAGTCATCAAAAAACCCCACCGCTTTCACCTCTCAGAAATAACATTTTGTATTCAAGGACTTCTTTTTTGTGATATCCTGAACAAAGCATGCAATACCCTATACAAATTTTAAGTCTAAATAAAGCATTAGTGGCTGTGTCCAGTAGTTTGAAGGCAACAGGCTTTCAAATTCATTGCCGACTTTTACTGTCTGTAAACAGCTTTGTTCTTAGTTTGACAAATGAACCAGCTGCCGTGTCAAGGCTGAGGACTCTGTACTCAACTTTTTCCATCCTCATTGCTACAATAACTGCTCCCTCCCTTTAGGGCCATTACTGAAACATTAGACTTTAGAAAATACATTAGTATGAACATAATCAACCTCACGAATCACAGTCAGATTTCTATGCAGCATTATTTCCTCCCTTTAACTTCTACGCTGACAGGTAGGGGAGAAAACAAAAGACTTGGCTAAGCCTTGAAATTAGGAGCACTTCGCTTTCAATTCAGGTATTTAATAAGCTGAGCCTTTAACAGGGTCCTCCAAGTTTTTCTTGGTTATTTAATAGGTACATTTGAATTGTTTAATTCAAGCTTAAATACAGCAAACATGCAAAGAATGTGAAGAATCACAATAAAAGATGTTTTGGATTTGGAAGTTTTGAGGAGTTGGGTTTGTTTGTTTGTTTGTTTTCCTTAGCAAAGCAGTTGCATCTAGTATGCAGAAAGTACTGAGAGCTTAGATACCCAGATTTACTCTTTGGCTCTCTGGAATACCTCGAGGAGCTGAATTAACACTGATCATGGTTTACATTTCTATAGAAGCTCCTCATCTGTAAATCATAAACCATTTTACCAATATTCACAAATTTAGCCTCCTGGCAATTGGATCATGCGTACAAGGTTAATACTGTTATTCCCATTTTATAGCACAGAAATCAGAGAGAATTTGAGGTCCACTTTTGCAAAGACTGTTGCTCGCATTCCGCTATATACATGAAACATGCATGCTGGCACACAAAAACCAAAGGTAGTACACATGCAACCAAGGTCTGAAGAAGCGAAAAATAAATAAATGACTGTGTAAAAAGCATCGGTATTTTGAAGAAAACCTTTTCTCATCTGCAGGACAGATGTGACATGGGGTAGCACCTGATTGTCTATTTTTGACCTACAGATGGTTAGAATAATAGACACTCATAAAAAAGAAATCAGGTAATATTAAAGGCACTTTGACTACTTGTTCCATATGATCCCAATCCTGCAAAGCACTTAGGCAGATGTGTAACTTTGCTTATGCAAAACGCACCCCTGAATTTCATGGCATTGCATTGTTCACAGGACGTGTGACAGGAAAAGGGCCAGCTTTCTGATGGACCTTTCTTCAGTATTACTACAATTAACCTGTATTTTCAGATACAGCCTTTTTGTAGTATCCACCTAAATGATGTACTGCTCAATTTTGCTGACTTACGTGAGACTCTCCTCACTTGAACATGCAACAAACTCACTACAGGATGAGTGATGGGTGCTGGAAGGCATTCTCTGTGTATTTTTTCCTGGGCAAGTTACTATTTTATATCGTCTTTTGTATTAAAAACAAAAACACCTGTTTGCTTGGGATTCTCCCACATGGGAAGTTCTCATTTGCTTGATGAAATAAAGTAGTCACTGAAGACACACAATTATCTTTCTACACTATTCTGGACTTGGCTGAAATTGGAGAAAAGCATTTCTTTTACCATTTGTTCTCAAATCAAGTCTATGTCCTGGTTTGGATAATGCAACTTTCCCTATTTTCTAACAATCTTTCCACTTGGGAATGGATGAAAACTGAACTAGGAGCAACTTTTCTCGCTAAAACGAATAAACCAGCTATTGACCTTTTTAATTCTGGGACATTATTTCTTTGTATAAAATCCATTTGATTCGTTTAGGTAAAGGTATTCTTTATGGGTACAAATGTCAATCATCTTTTTATCAAAAGTTAGAAAGAAGCTATAATTCAGCCTATATTTCATTACTGTACTTACTACACATTTAAAAACAGGATATTATGGACATCCATGAATTTACTCTCATTTCTAACTGTAATTACCATTGTTATGTAAGTAAAGTCAGTGGTCAACATCAAACAGCATTTCATACCCCAACAGTAGCACTTTGCCACACATCTTGTAATTATTTTTGTATTTAAATCTTTTTTTCTCCCAGATCAAGTTAAAAAACTGAAGGCTAAATTTCTGGGGGAAAAAAGCATTTGTCATTTAAAAGTGGGGGGTGGGGAGGAGGAATAAGGGCTTCTTAAAGTCTCAGATCACAGGACAAAGTTTAAAAACTAGTAACTTCTCTTTCAGCTTCTATTGACTTCTGTGAATCACGAATCATCAGTGTGATGCAAAGTGTAAGAGCAGTAAGGGCATGGGTTTTAGGAACTTGTTGCTTTGTAAATCTTTCTTAATTCAACTTAGTTAAAAACGTTTGTAGTTATTTAGTAAGTGAAATCCCCCTCCTACACACTCTCATCGTCTTCTCCTACTACTCGGAATGGTTTATTGCTTGAATTGAATCATGAAAATCGAGAGGGTTGAGGTTTCTTTTCAGTAACTTCGAAATAAAAATGTTGTTTAGCCACACAACTAGCTTAATACCATTAAAATGCATGACATTTTGCTCAAGGGCAAATTCAAGCTGGGGCTGCCAGAAATGTTCCTGCTACTTTACTTGCCTGGGCATCTTGGGTGTTGTTGACCTTCCCTGTTTTGATGAGGGAGAAGTTGTATGCAAAGAGCACCAGCAGAGCCAGGGGCAGCATGTACAGTTCCACGCTCCAGACGGTGACCACAAATACCTGGGAGAAATAAAGCAGCAGAAAGGAATACATACAAGTGTTTAAAGAGAAAGACATACAGAAAGCCTTTCAGTCATTATCCCTATGTACGTTCATCCTTGAATCTCTGTTAACCTCATTCATATTATTATTTTGGTCAAGAAAATCTGCTGGCAGAGCATGCTCTCTTTCTATTCTGTTTAAATCTATTAGGCTGCCGTTTGTTAGCTTCTTCTCCCCTGTATCTGGTGAAGTACAAGGCCATGAACATCAGGTTAGTCCGAAGGCTTTATTCACTCCTTCCTGGGACCCCCTCAAGCCTGAAAGCCCTTTGTCCTTAGTGCTAGTGCATAACAGACCCACTTGTAGAGGTAAACCTGCTCCACTTCATCAAACGCTAATTGCCAGGGGGTCTTTCACCGGCTAGAGGAGAGTTTTTTCCTCTTGTGCAACAGGAGCCATCCAGCTCCCTTGTCACTCCACAGGAGATGATCAGCAAATACATCTTCACCATTAATCCACCTATGTTCTTGGCATAGCAGCACAGAGAAAGGACCATGACCTTCCAGGAGGCAAGGCTCTAGGTTGCATGTGATGCATTATTTTGGAAAGGGATCCAGTAAGCCTCGTCTCCATTCCCATACCCTTGCCATTTTTCAGCACAGCATATTCCGATTTCCCTGGTTGCTTGGAGTCTCTCTGCCCAGGAACGGTATGAGTTTGTGCGTTTGGAGTGGTATCTGACAAAATCCACTAATAGCAAGATCAGAAGCCAAATTTTGAAGTTCTGTTCTGCAAACTGGATCAGCAAAACATGCACCTAACATGATGGGGATTTAAAAAGCACTTAGGATTTTTAAAAACAAATGATACCAAGCCAAACTGCAATCCTAACTTACAATTACCAACGATACCTGAATGGACTCCAAACTTGGAGTGGTTGGCAATGCAAAGTTAATAAACTAAATCCAGAATTGCCATAAAATGAGTGTTGTGATCCCATTTCCTTTTCTACTCATACATAGTGTCTCCAGAACTGCCTAATGCTGGTCATAACTTGAAGCTATTTTAAACAATTTCCTTTAAAGACAAGGCACAAACACATTTATCTGATTTACACGCACACCCACCCCAAAAGGAACCTGGAATGAACAGAAACAAAAATCCCATTTTTAGAATAATACAGGTAGGTGAAAATGAGTCAGGTCCAGTTAATGTATCTCAAACTGCAACAAAGGGAAAACTCTATGGGTTATCAGAAAGCTAAATCTCTACCCCCCTTCATCCTTGGCCCGTCAGACACTACATATAAAGGCAACATTGGCACTTGCAGAATGGGATATTTATGGCAATGTATTTTGCATTATGGACTTGAAAGTCTAACCACACTGTACCAAAGCAGTACTTCCCACTGCTTTCAGTGGGGTGAGAATTTATACCCCTACAAAACAGCAGCTGTTGTAACTTTCAACAAAAAGACTTGTCGGACATCAGACAAATGGCCAGTTAATATCTACCAGGGGCCAAACATAAAGCAAGACACAATGACTGTATCCATAACCCTGCCCAAACAGCAGTTGCGTTTTCTAGAGTGAACCTGATTTCATGTTAGCTGTTGCTATGCAAGGAATTAGACTGTCATCCTGTTCTTGGCATTCGTAGGCCAGTAAAGCAATCTTTGAGATATATTCATTTATAAAATGGGCTGACATCCAGACAATATATCCCCATACAATTGATTTGCAGCATAGGAATGTAGAAGAGGATTTGGTTTTGCTTTGGTTTGTTTTTTTTTTTTTTCTTTTTGAGCCTGCTTTTCAACATACTAAAAAATTAGAAGTGATAACGATTCCAACAGCCACATTTCATGTGTAAGCAAGGCAACAGAAACACAAGAATCCTGGCCAAGAAGGCACGGTACTTGATCTGTCTTACAGGAGCCTTGCATGGCTTTAGCTAATAAAGACTTCAAAAACTGTGATATTCCAAGCTAAAAAGTCTTCCATAAATGAAAAGTTCTAACCCGAACAAGTTCCTCTGAAGCTATTCCAACTCTCTTGGATGAATCTCTACTTGCTTTGTAAGACAAAGTGAAGGTGATACCAGCTCCTGTCCTACCTCAAATATCACTCTAAAGAACAAGGACCTATTATTGTACATATCTATACAGATATCTATCCCAGGTATATATAGACAGATAAAAATAGACACACGCATATAAATATACATCTGATCCTTATGTGAACTCCTTCATGGAAATTCACATTGCCAGGTATTAATTCAAAACATTTGCTTCAGCCTGTTGGAGGAGCTTGCATTTACATCATCTCCCTGGGGTATTAGCAAACTCAAGTCTTCTCTTAACACAGCAAAAAGACTCCACCGGCAGTCAGCTAGGCAAGGTCCTACAGGAGTCAATGAAGCTCTTGAAGAACCTCTCTTCATTCATTCATTCAATTGCAGGACGAACCAAATTTAGTGCATCTGTCACCATCCTATATGAACATCACTCTGCTCAGTTGCAAGTATAATACAACCTTGCAATCACAGGTCATTTAGGCAAGATACAAAATCAAGACCTTGGTGATTTTAGATCCAACAGTACATTTTGTGTATCATTAAGTTTCAGACCTTAAATAAAACTTAAAACGTAATTACAAAATCTCACTGTAGTCTCAACTGACAGCTGAGGCATACTGTCACTTCCTTTCTAATGCTGACTGGTTAATCGGTTGCTGAGTTATAACTCAGACAGTAATGCTTTGATAGAGCTCCCACATCCCCTTAAGAAGAGTTGCTTTACTGCTACCGAGGCAGCAGAAGGAACTTTCATCGCTGTGACACAACACAGACACAAGACAAATTCATTTAGCTATTCAGAAATTATTTAGCCTCAGAGGTATGGGAAATTATTGCTGTGAACATACAGTACCTAATAAAAGTTCTGAGGGCGTTTATAAAGCGAATAGAAATATTTCTGCATTCTAACAGCCTTTTGAGTAGTTCTGCAGCATCAGCTTTCAAAGCAGTTCCCAAACAGGCCCATGTCCTATTTTATCAACTCTCATGCAGCTCCCTGACACTGACTACAGCATCAGCAGCCCTGTGATATAGACGCACACTTCTCAAATTAAAAGGTTCTCAATCACGCATGTTTTTATTTTCTCCCCAGTGATTCCTTATGCCTGGGAGAAGCTCCTGCATTATCCTCCCTAAATTATTTTCTTAGCAACACCTTTTGCCAAAACTCGGGAATGGTTCAGCTGCTGATGTATACAATGGCCATTAAAAGGAACAATATCTTCTTGATTTCTTGAAAACCCTAGTCTGTCTTTTGCCTAATACGTAGGCTGGTAAGGGAAGTCATTAACAGGTTCAGATCACTTGCTCAATATCACAGAAGTCAGGGACAGAATCCAAGCCACCGTTTCAAGTGATCTGGTTTTAACAAATCACACTTTTTTCACAATATTTCACATCATCGTTAGACTAAGTTCTGTCAGATATAATCCATTACATCATTGACGCTTTTTCTTCTGGGCTTCATACTGTGCATGAGAGAAGTTAAAAGGACAGTAGCCAATTTCTTAAAAAAAAAAAAAGTCAAACAAGTGAAAGCTAGCTTTCTGTGTTACTACTTTTAATGCAGTTTGAGAGTACAAAAGCCTATTATAGAACTGAGCAATTTATTTCACAGCATTATAAAACAATGATCGAAACAGAAACAGAAATGAGATAGACATATCTAGAGGAAAAAAAAAAAGAGCTCTTGAAACTTATATTTAGACTAGGGTTCTACCTAGAAGAGAACAGCAATATCACAGCCTTGGAGAAAGGACCACTTGATTTCAGCTGATTAATGTGTTGCTATTTCAAAGGGCCTAATAACTACAAGTTAATGCTCTGGAGGTTTGGAAGCCGTTTCATCTGAAAATCATTGAAGAGGGGTCCAACTGTTCCTGTCAAGAAGCATGGAGTTTGAACAACCATGAGAGTGGCCCTTTTGACAGCAGTACAAAAGATGAGAGAAGGCAGTCTCAACTGAAAGTAAAAACAAACCCTTAGAAACACGTTTCAAATCTGTTTTTTCTGCCCCTCTGGTTCCAATTTAGAATCTGACTATTAAGAACAGATTTTAGACGGGTGTCTACTAAAGTATGCCCATAAAAGATTTGTCACCAGCAAACCCACAGTCATGGGATAGAACAGTTTTAAGAGGTTTAGAAACCTAGCATTAGATAAGATTTTCTGTGTAATTTTTCTACACAGCAATTATAATGTTTTTAACTCTAAAAAACAGGCTCTTTTTGACCTGGTAAGTCTTTGTGGAGAAGTAAAAGATGCTGTGTCATGTGCCAGAATAATCCTTGGAAAACAACAGTGATGGGAGAAGGAGAGGGATACATTCCATCAGATGGAAAAAATAAAAGTGAAAGGAGATTAAATGCATGCAAGGAACCTATGGTAAAAGGTTACTTTCTCAGCCAGCGTAGGCTCCGATGCTAATGAAATGCCTCATCAGCAGAGCTGTGAAAAATATTATTCGAAACTAGTTTCAAAACCACACACAATTTCACTGAACTCTAAACTACTAACAGCTTTGTCAAAAGTTTCCTTGCAATTTACATACATGGTCTATGCAATTCATGAAGTCAGGAGAAAAACTTGAGCTGATGCTGTTGTGAATGTCCAAGTTATGTTTTGAACTAAATCAAAACACTGATTTTTATCTGAGACAAAGACATGCTCCCCTTTATTTACAGGGGAGAAGAATTACATATTTTTAACTTATCTCCGGGTTATGGAGCCTCAAGTTGCCATGTACACACAAATGGACTCTATAAAAGAGGAGAAATTTCTGCAGCTAAATATTCAGGGACAAACTCTCTAGCATTTTTTTTAAGCTTTCAGTCCCTCTGCCCCTAACAAAATACAGGATATTAGCCAATAACATAAGATACTGGCTCCCCAAAAGGGCATTTGAATCCCTTGGAGGCAATAAGCCTGTCGACAACAAATTA